ACTTCTACCCAACTGAGCCATTATTTCACTTTGGTGAATATTCAGTCTGCCACAAATTACTAAGCATTTTATATAGATCTATATTCTCTCTCTCTCTCTCTCTCTCTCTCTCTCTCTCTCTCTCTCTCTCTCTCTCTCTCTTCCTCTCCCTCTCCCTGTCTCCCTCTCTTCTTCTCTCCCTCTTTTTCTCCCTCTCTTTCTCCTCTGTGTGTGTGTATATGCATATAATATATATATATATATTAGAAACAGAGGAAAGTTTCAGAACTAGTCAAGATACCACCATAAATTTCTATTTCATTGCTGTCTTTGTTTACTTACTGTAACCATAAAAATAGAATTATAACAAGATTAGCAGAAGGAAAAATAAAGAATGGTAATGGATTATACCAGAAAAAGTCCACCAACTTTTCAATTCACTTATACACATGCATCCATGGGACGGAGGACTGGAAAAGAAATGGAAAAATTAAACTATTTCCTACCAACAGGTTGCAGTGGATGAGTTGTGTTTGCAATCACTGTTTTTCAGGCTGCCTTGACTCAGGTGTACAGTCAATGCCAAAGGTACTATCACGTGTTTCAAGCAGCTGACGACTGGCTGGAGGATGCCCATGAAATGGTACAGCTGGCAGGCAATGGCCTCGATGTAGAGAGTGCGGAGGAAAGTCTCAAAAGCCACCTGGAATTTTTTCGTGCAGAGGATCAGTTCCAGAGTAACCTGGAGGAGCTCCGAGGCCTGGTAGCCAACCTGGACCCACTCATCAAGCCAGCTGGAAAAGAGGACCTAGCACAGAGAATGTCCTCCCTGGAACAGAAGAGCCAGAGGGTAATCCAGGAGTCACACGCCCAACTGGATCTCTTGCAGAGGTACCGAGTTGCTTTAATCTTTATATTCTATCAAAACATAATGCATTTTGAAATGACTTTTCACACGGAAAACACGAATGCACTAATGATGTACATTAGCATGTAAATCCATTCCTCTCTAAGTATCATTACATCTATTGACATCAGAGATCTGCCTAGAAATGTGTGATTTGATGTCACTTATTGACTTTTGTTGGACTTTTTCAAGATGTGCAGTTCAATGGCAGGATTATCAGAAAGCAAGGGAAGAGGTTATCGAATTGATGAATGATGCAGAAAAGAAACTGTCTGAATTTTCCCTATTGAAGACTTCTTCCAGTCACGAAGCAGAAGAAAAATTGTCAGAACACAAGGTGAGTTCGTTGTCCTTCTTAATGCCCTTTCATTGCAATGACCCAAATGGGTCTTTGCACTATGATAGGTCCAGAGTCAGGTCAATAAATCTTCATTTCTATCTGGGTTCCATAAATATGAGAAGGATACACTGAACCATGTTTCATAGCAGTTTTAACAATTAAATCTTTAAATTTTGGTTTTTTTTTTTTTTTTTTTAGGGTCTGATGGAAATGCATAGCTACATTTAAAAAGAGACATTCAGAACAATTGTTTCTGATAAAGTATACTTTCTGGTGATAAGTTAGATTATTCAAATAACAGCTGAATCTCCCTCATCTATTCCAGCAATATATGGTAGAATGTACATCCTTAAATATGAAATTCAATTCACTTATATTTTTGCTGCTTTTTAAAAATGGGAGAATGTCATCTGAGGCAGCAAATAAACTTTTGTTTTTAATAAATAAATATTCACCTTACCTCTTGAAAAAAATCCAAGCTTAACTCAATTAAGAATTCAGGGTAACAGTAAGAGTCACCAGAGGAAAATGAATATATCTAGGAACATTTCCTTTTGCAGGTAATTTAGGGCTTTACCCAAATCCATAGAACTTTTGAAAACAATCTCTCCCACAACCTCTCTTCTCCCCAACCCCAGGCTTTGGTGTCAGTCGTTAACTCTTTTCATGAGAAAATTGTGGCTCTAGAGGATAAAACTTCACTATTGGAAAAATCTGGAAACGATGCCAGCAAAGCAACCATAGGCAGGTCGATGACGACAGTATGGCAGCGCTGGGCGCGTCTCCGCGCTGTGGCCCAGGACCAGGAGAAGATCCTGGAAGATGCCGTGGACGAGTGGAAGAACTTGAGCACGAAGGTAATTTCTGTTATGGATGGGCTCAAATTATTGTTTCCTTGCTGATGAAAATGCGTTTTGAAAACAGTATTTTGATCTTTTTTTTTAAATTTGCTTCGTGCCAATAAAGAGCCTCTTTTTTAGTGTGTGTGTGTCTGTTTCAATGACATGCAAACCAAATTATGAAACAAAATACAATAGGCAATGCACAATGTAGTCCCAAGTCAGGGTCCAATTATTTTAATAAGAAAACCAGGAAATTAAATTTTAAAAGGAGGACAAGCCCCCTTTCCTCCATTTGCTAAACTTTTAGGGAAACTTTCTTACCTGGTCCTGAAAAAGTACCCAATACTTTTTCTTTGCCATGGAAATGAGCAGGAATTTAACTCATTTCCCAAATCCTATATTTAATTTCTTTCATCTTTTAAGTAGGGTTCAGTGCTTTAAGTCCCGTCTTCTTTCATAACTCAGAGACACATTCATGTTAATGTAAATGTTGGAAAGAGTTTTTCATTTGTCTTTCAGTTAAAAAAACTAAAAACAAAAAACTTTTTTCTATGTTATGCATTCTCTGATTGCACTCTCTGATTGACCTGATATTATTCTGAGATTATTCTGAGATTCAAGCTTTAAGCCCAGCACGATAGAGATGGTCTCTCCTTTCATGTTAAGATTGTTCGGGTTTTACTTTCCTGAAATTTAGAGTTTGCACCTTCATCTTTAACATGCTTCAATGCATTAGTGTCAAATGTGGCATTTTTTAAATTTCATAGTATGTACATTTCTTCATCAGGTTAAAAAAGCCACTGAAATGATTGACCAGTTGCAAGATAAATTACCCGGAAGTTCAGCAGAGAAAGCCTCAAAAGCAGAGCTCTTAACTCTTCTTGAGTATCATGACACATTCACCCTGGAGCTGGAACAGCAACAGTCGACCCTAGGCATGCTGAGACAACAGGCGCTGAGCATGCTCCCGGAGGGGACCACGCCACCCCCTGGAGAAGAGCCACCCATTGTGCAGGAAATCACAGCGATGCAGGATCGGTGCCTAAAGTAATTACATATCTGCTCTCATGCTCTGTTACTAAACTTGGCCATGACCCAAAGGGATAAATGTGGTATATCCCAGTCTGGGGACACTCCATCATTCCACCTTAAAATGGGGGTATCTCTTCCCATCACCCCTGCTTTTTATTTTTCTTGGCTCTTTGATTATTTGTCTATAAAACACACATCTAGTAGTATTGAGAAATACAGGGAGGAACAGAACAGATTCAGTCTGTACCTTCATGCTATTTACGCGTGTAGTCAAACAGCAGAAATAGGCAACTACAGAAGCCATTTAGGTAAAGCATGGAAAGGATGGTAAGGGAGCACAGAGTAGAGGCAGCTAACCTAGGAAAGCAGCCGAGGAAGGCTTCCCTTCACAAGGGGCATTGAAGCCGAAGACAGCCGGCTTCAGTGCAGCAGTGAGATGGGAGGAGAGTTTTGCAAACAGGGGAATAGCACGTAAGAAAGCTTTGGAAGTAAGCATGTCACTTTCAGAGAACTGTTGGGTGATGAGCTGTTTATGAGAAATGGAGTTTGAAAGGTAAACAGTTGAGAGCTATTTAGAACCTAGTTTTGAAAAAGCTTGGTAAGTCATTGGATACATTGGATGATAGAGAGATTGGAGCAAGGATGATACCAAAGTCCAGGTACATAAGCCATTTACTGGTAGTGAACATGGTAGATAGAGGAAGTAAAACTTAATGATACATAATTAGCCTGATTCATTAATTGGGCCAGAGTAGAAATGTCAATAAATAATTTAACTCATATATTAACCAATATTATCTATACATAGCCTATATTCAACTGTTTCACTTACAGGTGAATTCAGGGTCATCTGACTCCACTCATTTAAACTTTTTAACCAAATTTATGTAAATTCAAATAAAGACTTACAATTTGGATGTTAAACATTATTAATTGTAAAATTGCTAAAGCTGGAGTCTTTATTTTAAAATTGGTGTCTAATAGCCACAAATATTCCCATTGCATATTACTTTTTAATGCTGATGATTCTGTACCTTTTGAGTAGATTTCTCAAAAAGAAATAAGCAATCAAACTATGCCCAGTTTACTTTAGATAGGAAAATTAATTTCAATTTAGTGGCATGGGAATGTGTCAACTCTCAATATTCCAGGAATAAATCATTCATTTCCTGTGATGTATATTCTGTTATACTTGAACTGAACTTAAGTGTTACCAAAAATTATCTGACAGTTTTGGGGAAATGTGTTTACCTACAAAACAGATACGAGGTTTCACCTTTTTTAATGCCTGTTTTTGGTAACATAATGCTGTGTATTAGAGGATTCTTTTCATTTCAAATTTGCTTCTGCTTCCTCCCTGTCACGTTTCTGAAGCATGCAGGAGAAAGTGAAGAACAGTGGGAAGGTGGTAAAACAAGAGCTGAAGGACCGAGAAGTGGTGGAGACTCAAATCAATTCTGTGAAATCTTGGGTTCAGGGAACGAAGGAGTATCTGGGGAATCCAACAATAGAAATAGATGCTCAACTTGAAGAACTTCAGGTACAAAGCTCTCTTCATTCCCTAGACCCATCACTTAAAAAAAAAAAAATTGTCTGACTTTAATCCAACACACTTGTTTATACTAACTGAACTATTGAATTAAAAAATTTCAGAAATGTGTTATATAAAGGCTTTTAGCATTATTTCATTGGTCTTTTGTTTGTTCTGTATAAAGTGGACATTTTTTCTCATTCAGAGACTAAAGAAGCACTTGGTTTTTCTTAAGGTGTTTCTCTAATTCCACACTTAATCATATATTGACGAATGGTATATGGTCTTGTCCCTGTACCTGTGAAAATTCCCTTAGGCTCCCAGAAATGTCTCATTTTGATCTTTTCTTCAGATTCTCCTAACAGAAGCCAAAAATCACCGACAGAACATTGAGAAAATGGCTGAAGAACAGAAGAACAAGTACCTGGGTCTTTATACTATATTACCTTCTGACCTCTCCCTTCAGTTAGCTGAGGTGGCGTTGGACCTGGGAACGATTCATGATCAGGTAAACCTACTGTCAAGAAGGAGTGCCTTTCCATTCTTTTTAGAGGCTCAATGCTCTTATATGAGAGTTCTTGATTTTCATAATTATATCTTCATGGAAACAGTTAAAAAAACAGCTCAGCATAAAGCAATAATATTAAATTCAAAATCTTATTTGTAGGCCAAAAAAAACCACACATCAGATAATCATAGATATAAACAATGTCATACAATTAAAGATAACTTACCTGCTTTCCCTCATCTTTTCAAAAAATAAAAATAAAACTTACAGAAACAACAACAGGAAATAAGCTATATATATATATATATATATATATATCAATGTGTTCAACAAATATTTACTGAGTCCCCAGTCTGCCAGGCACACTTATGCTATTTCAGCCTTTCATTTATATAAAGAAAACATTTATTTCCCATTTTCTCTTCAGCATTTTATTATAAGCAAAAGTTTGTTATCAAATCAAACCAAAGCCATGAGAAACTTATGTTAACCGTTCTTTTTCACCTTCTTTCCATGGGACATGCTTAATGCTTTTGTGCCATACTACAGGGATATAATTGCAAAGTCAGAAAAAGTTACCATATAATAATTTACAGCTGCTTATGAAAAGGTAGCTGGAAACAAATTTGTGCGCCTCCAGTTATCTGGAAGTGTTTTCCACTTTATGAAGAACAAGGCTTAGAGGAGTCTGTGTGCTTAAGGTCACAAAGTTGGTATATAGGGGAAAAAAATAGATACAGGTATCTATACTGCCATCTACGGACATTGTGTAAACATTTGATGAGTGAATCACTGTGCGCTCATTGCTTGTTCCTTTGCTGAAACAGCAGAGGAAGAGGTTCAGGGGCTGCATGAAGATGGGGAGAAGTGAGGCTGCTTGGAGTCACGAGCGTTTGTACCTGCATGAGGCTGGTTGACAAAGTGCATCAACACCAAGGCAGCATTCTCTATCTGAAATCTCTCATCAACATCTCCAGATTAAAGTTTTTAGTATCTATCACCCAGTTTTAACCATGGTTGGTTTTGCTGTTCTTGTTAATTATTTAGATCCAGGACAAAGTAAAAGAAGTTGAACAGAACAAGGCTACCAGCCAGGAGTTCAGCCGGCAAATTCAGAAGATAGCCAAAGATCTCACAACTATTCTGACTAAGCTGAGGGCAAAGACAGATAATTTAGTTCAAGCTAAAACTGATCAAAAGGTAAGGAAAGAGAGAAGTGCAAACATAAGGGGTGCTGCTGGATAAATTCAATATTTTGGGGAGTTTGTTTATTTTGGGTTATAGAAAAAAAAAAAAGGTTTCTTGATTAGCAAGCTTCATTAAAATCAGACAGTAAAGACATGCCGTAAAGACATTTTATAAATATAATAGCATAGATCTACTTGCATGGTATAATTTACCATCATAATTGAACTGTATTAATAAATATAGTTGCATGGATGGGTAAAACGGGAGAGTGTCCAAGAACTACATAATGATTTAGGAATACAAGTATATAAATTCCAAAATGAAGGGTGTTCTTGGTAGTTGAATCTGTTTTCACTCTTTAGATAAGTGACTAATCCTTTTAGGGTGGGGCAGAAGGAAAATGTTAGCTCTTTCAGCCTCATAGGAAATAAATACCAGGTTGCAAAACATCCTGCTCTGCCTTTCCAACCAAGGAAATATAAATGACCTGGTCATGGTAGAATTCTTCTTAATAGTATTTGGCTTATATAAAAATCATTAAAAATATCATCCTTCTGATCTTAGAAAATCTGGAGCAATTCATTTGCTATAGTCTAATGTTCTGTCATTGTGATGACCATCTAGGTGCTGGGAGAGGAGTTAGGCGCCTGTAATTTAAAGTTAATGGAGCTCGATGAAGCAGTACAGAAATTCTCAGAACAGAACGATCAACTGGGTAAGCCCCTGGCCAAGAAGATAGGAAAACTCACTGAACTGCACCAGCAGACCATCAGGCAGGCGGAGAGCCGGCTGTCCAGGCTCAGCCAGGTATGTTTTCCAGGCCAGTAATCAAAATCCGATGAGGCAGACATTCTATGTCCTGTTTTGCTCCTTTGAAAATAAATAAACAGATAATATTGACAATGATGACAGTAATTTAAGAGTAACTTACTTCATACCACACCTGTGTTCCTAAGAATTAGACATAATGCTGCCTTTATTTTATATCGGACCATATCATAAATTCATTGACAAAGGTCATATAAAAGTACTTTTAGGGTGAGTATTTTATAAACTGGGGAAATATTTTGTAAAATGAATGTACACCTAAACACAAATCAGTGTGTGTGAATTCAAATCTCTTAAAGTGATAGAGACAGAGACAGAGATAGAGATATATAAATATACATATAATAGCTATTATTTACTTAATAGATTCAAGTCATACATCCATCATCATTGTTGACTATACACTCAACTTTTGTTAACTGATTATGTTTTTTTCTGTAACCAGGGACAAGTTAAATCAGAACTTGGCAATCAGTGAATTACAATATTGAAACCTGGCCTGCCATACTCCCTGGCCAGCGAGGGTGGAGTGTGGAAGGAAGGCGGCAGACAGGGGATCTAGATAAATGAATATGAGATGTGAATAGAGAATTTTTTTTTTAAAGAGATTATCCAAGCATATTAAGAACTTGGACTTTATCCTAAAGTCACTGGGAAGTCTTTGAAATATTTTCAACAATAACGTGATTTTTTTCAGGATGCTTTTGGTGGATGACAAAAGGGGAGTGGAGGGTAGATTCTATGGAAAGTAACCTTACAGGGCAATCTGATTACAAATTCCTAAATGTGCTAGTCATGGTGGGTAGTCATGTCCCAGGCCTCTAACTTCTTTAGTGAGAGGTTTGAAGCCAGCCCTGTCCATGTTCTTATGCATCTGGGTTAACACACCTTTGAAATAAGCTGAAACCACCCTCAAGAAAGCACATAATCTTGTTAACTATGTGTAATCCAATCCCTGCCTTGCTTTCTCCCACCTGCATGTCATCTTCCTTAGTCCCTTCTTAATTTCAAATGCATGAAAGAAACTGCAAAACTGTTGTCCTCCAGAGCATTTAAGAGCTTGCTCCCTAGCATATGTCATCAGTTTGGCTCAACTAAATGCATACAAATTCTCTACGGGTTTGGACATTTCTTATGTTGACACTGTAAATATCAGATATCATCATGATCAACCCCTAGGATTATTGTGTCCAATGAGAGAGAGAGAGACAACTGATTTCTAACTCAAGAAGCAGAATTTGTTATCTGAATGTGAATGCTCTTTCAGGCTGCCTCACATTTAGAAGAGTACGATGAAATGCTTGAATTAATTTTGAAGTGGATTGACAAAGCTAAAGTCTTGGTGCAGGGAAAGATTGCGTGGAATTCTGCAAGACAACTTTGGGAGCAGTACATTTCACATCAGGTAACTTTGGGAAAAATAGTTTTCAAAGTGTAATTATGAGAGTAATTTAATTTAACTGGCTCGACTGACAATTTAGAGGGCCATGATGTAAAATTATTGTAGGTGCCACATAAAAAACTTTTCTTTCCCAAGACCAGAGATAATCAGCCCCTTTTTTTGCAGTGTCTTGGAAACAGTTGTATGCTGGGATATGGTGCGAAATTATTCCACGTGAAGAGATGTAGTGACATGTAGGAAGGTTATGTAGGCTCCAGACTCAGGCTGATGGGAAAATCAAGCTCTGCCCTTCATCGCTGTATTGTTTGGAACAAACTACTTTGCCTCTCTGAATTCAGTCTTCTCATCAATAATAGAAAGATGTAAATTATTTATATGGCAGAATTATTATGAGAATTCAATGGTTTAAATATGTGCACATATCGAGCACGTCACCTGACACATGGGTGGGTGCTCACCGAGAGCTCCTGTGCCTCTTCCGGCAGCCTGACGCCTGGCCTCAGTCTCCTGACCTTCCACATGAGGGGTCAGCTGGCCAGGAGTTGGCTGCATTACTTCATTTCCTCTGAAGTTTTCTCTTGGTCATGTCATCCAGGAAATGATTTCATCCTTTTATAAAGTAGGCTCAAATTAGATAGAGCTAATAGCCCTGTTATCTTGCAATAAAATATGGAATGATTTTTATGTATGTTACATGGATATCCTCAAGTCTTTTAGATTTTCTCTCTCATTTATTCGGATTTATGTATACTCATGTCTTTTAAATCCATCCCCTTTTCCATTCCATTTGACAGGGTCCTAGATCAAAGCCTCATCGTCTCCCTCTCGGAGCACTTCAGCAGGCTTCTAATTTATTTCTCTGTATCCATGATCTTTCTTCTTTAATCAATCTCTCACACGCCTCTCAAGAAATCTTCCTTGAACAACTCTAGTCTTCTACTTGAGGATATGCTTATATATTAATAGATGAGACTTAAGTTACAACTGGTTGTAAACAATGAAAAAAATAATTATTCAACCTTATTAGAAATCTGGAAATGCATATTTAAAAGAGAGCATTTTAACTCTCAGGTTAACACCATTCTTTAAAAGTTCATATTCAAGGAAGTGAGAGCTCTCAAACACTGCTAGGAACTTGGTAAAATCTCTTAGAAAAACAATTGGCAAAATGTATCACAATCATCAAAAAGTTCCTACTCTGTAGTCCTAACTATAGAAAACATTTTATGCAGTATTAATAACTATATTGGAATTTTAAAGAAAACTTAAATGTCAATTCATTTTTCTGAGTAAGTTTTTGGATATAGTGGAATATAATATAGTCTTTAAAATGACCATTTTTCTTTAAAATAGCTCCTATATTCATTTATGTATTCAACAAACATTTACAGAGTATTTTTCCAAAGCTAGGAATTTGGTTAGGCATTTGGAATACAAAGAATATTCGTGTCGCTGCCCCCAGGGAGTTGATGATTAAAGGGAGGAAGGAGATAGACGTCTTCAGATCCAGACAATTGCAACACAGTGTGATAAGAGGAGGGATTCGGGACTAGAAGGACCCCCACAGGAGGGCTTTCCACCCAGACGGCCTGGGGTCTGAGAGGAAGGCTAAGAAAGCCTTCTTCAGAAAAGGCTAGTCTAGGCTGACTTCCGAAGGACAGGCAGCCAACTTGCATGGAACGCGGTTTAGACAAAAATGCGTGTTGAAATCCCAGCAGTGAGAGTGAGAGGTGCTCTTTTTGGTGCACTTGGTAGGTGCTGCCTGNTTTCCTACTGCTGCCTGCCATGCTCTGACCATGACATTGCCACCTTCAGGGCAGAATGAATAGGGAGAATACAGAGGATCTGGCCATTTAACTACTTTGAGTCCATGAACATCCTTCGCAAAATATTTTAGAGAGAAGGCTCTGAGGATTTGAATCATCTAGAGACTTCACCCATCCTTGCTTTAATCCCTAGACACCCAGGTAAACAGGAGTTAACACTAGAGCTGAGCAGACAGCAACACAGACTCACTTACACAGTTATTGATACAGAAAGATAATCGTGTGTGTGTATTTGTTTGTTTTCAAAGGAGGCCATGGTACAATATGAACAGTATGAGCAGGAAATGCAGCACCTCCAGGAGCTGATAGAAGGAGCTCACAGGGAGATTGAGGATAAGCCCGTGGCCACCAGCAACATCCAGGAGCTGCAGGCCCAGATCTCTCGGCACGAGGTAAGACAGGAAGGAATGTGGGCGAATGTCAAGGGCAGGACACGGCTTGATCAGAGTATGTGATTGGTTTCTAGTGAATGACAGAGAAAGGTTCTCCCTGTCGGACCCGTAAGGTGTTCATTTCCTGGGTAGCATCGTTGGCTGTCTCTGCATTGTGAACGCTACTTTTGCTGATCTTTTCCAAGATCCAGTAGCATGAGTCTGCTCCTTGATTCCAAAACATCTTTACACTTGGTTCATGGTGTATCTCAATGGCGACCCACCGACTGTCTCCTGCACCTGAATTCTCACAGTTAAACCACCCATGGTGGGGGGGGAGGCCCGAAGGAGGGCGGGGAAGAGGTGTAAGATAAGAATAGAGTGGAAAAAAAAGACAGATCATGAAAGCCTATTAAGAGCTAGGACTTTATCCTCACATCACTCTGAAGCTTTTGACAGATATTCTGCAGGCAAGTGACAAGCACAGACTCGTATTTTCAGAAAGATGACTTTGCAGCTTCTGGAAAATAGGTTGATGAAGAGAAGACAACATAGAAGGTGGTTTCAGTTTTCCAGTAGAAAATGACAAGGCCTTTCTTTGGAGGCTGAGAGAAGAGAATAGCAGGGGTATTACTGGGCTCGAATTCTGCCCTGGGAGCCTGGATGTTGGGGGAAAGAAGGTGGAGCCAAAGGTGCCTCCCAGGTGGTTTTGACTTGGGCAGTTGGCTGGGTTGAGTGCTTTGAGGGCCACAGGAGGACAGATACCAGGTATTGGTGGTTACCTCACACAGATGCTCAGGAGACCTCAACCTGTACTCACTGTTTCTGGGAGTTCTCCTGTGCTTGCCGTAGGAATTAAAGCCACCGGAGTTTATCTAAAAACAGTATGCACACAAAAAATGCGTGTGTTCTAATGTCAAGGGCAAAAAAAGACGGAAAATCGTAGGTATGTGATAATCTCAATTACCCAAAATTATACCAAAACATAGCAGCAGTTGTAGCTTACTTGAAGCTATCCCTGAGGTGTGGGATTATGGACTATCTTACATGCATGTATATATAAAATGTTCATTGTGAGGAAAGAGTGAGCTTCAATTTTGAAAACTAAGTGTCTGCTGCCTCAGGACAAGGTCCCACCTCCCGTGTCTCCTCCTTACACATCACACACCCCAGTAACTGCGCGTTTTGTGTTCACTCCCTCTGTCCTTTTGCTGATGCTGCTCCCTCAGTGTGAAATGTCTTTCCTCTTCTGTCCTCAGCTGCCAAAATGCAAACGTCCTTCTGGCTCTGCTCAGATGTGACTTCCGGGAAGCCCTCTCCCAGCCTTCCTGCAAGGAGCAGCGCATGTCACTTCTTTCACCCGGTCTTCTCTTTCCCTCTCCTCGTGTAGTGCATACCTTAGCATTACTGATCCACTCATATCAGTCCCGCTTGATGACTCCATCCTGAATGACAAGGGCTGTTTTATTCCTCTTGGTGTCCTAAGGGAGCGTCTGCCCCCTTGTCTTACTTAAAGCAAGGGATCGAAGGTGTTGTGTTCATTTGTAAGGCTCCTGTCTTATCCTCATTTCTTAGATCAATATGTGCTAAGATCTGAGGTATAGATGATGAGATCTGGAAAGCATCTCTTGCGTTTGAATATGTATGAGAAGAGATAGCCCAGCGACCTGATGAAGCTGCCCAGGGTGTCAGAGCCTTGCCACTGTTGGAACATTCATGCCCTGCCCCTCACCAGGGAGCAGCTTGGCATGGTGGGCAGAGCCTGAGCCTTATGGCCTGACACTTAATAACAGGTAGCCTCGGCAAGTTGATTACGGTGTCTGAACTTGGATTTCTTTTACTGTGAAATGGGGATAGCAGTAGGTGGGCAGCAGACACAGAGAGGTAAAGGTTAAGCACAGTAAGACATAGGGCCACACGGGGCATGTGGGAAGTGAAAATTACATCTCCTTACTCCCTGCCCAATCTGAAGGTCTTTACACCACACCGTATTGAGTACCTATGTCTCTCTGCCTACTGGTCAATGTCATGAATGTGGATAATTCACTCTAGACGCTGCTAGAGGAATCTGAAGAAATTCACAGCGACCTGGAAGCAATGGCTGAGAAGTTACAGTACCTCGCTAGTGTGTACTCTACAGAAAAAATGTCTCAGCAAGTGGCAGAGCTGGGGCGGGAGACGGAGGAATTGCGGCAGATGATCAAAGTTCGTTTGCAGAATCTCCAAGATGCTGCCAAGGTAAAAAATAATAATATAATTTAAACTGAAAAGTCCATTGTTAAAAAAAACAGTGGTTTTATGGTGGAGATACAGTACACACCTCTGAAGTGCCTTCTCGATTGTGAACTTCCTTCTTCACCTCGGCTTCGGACTTCAAGTGCTTATACACCAACATTCTCGTTGCTTTTACTCTGCAGGATATGAAAAAATTTGAAACCGAGCTAAAAAACCTACAAGTTGCTTTGGAGCAAACCCAGGCAACCCTGACTTCTCCAGAAGTCGGACGTCTTAGCCTCAAGGAGCAGCTCTCTCATCGACAGGTAAGCAGACATAAGTCAGGGGAAATGAATGAGGACCTCTACTGAAAAAAAAAGAGGAGAGCTAGGAAAAATGATTTCTAAACTCAGTTATAGTCTTAGCATTATATACATGCATTATTTAAAAAAAAAACAAAACGTTCCTTGGAAAATGTTTATCATTTCTGACAGACACAGAACTGTAATTGAATGTCTCTTGCTGATGGAATAAACTCTTAAATATAAATTTCTGCAATGTGAACTCTCGCTTTCAGCGTTTGCTGTCTGAGATGGAGTCACTCAAGCCAAAGGTCCATGCAGTGCAGAGGTGCCAGAGCGCGCTCCGGGTCCCCGAGGACGTGGTCACCAGCTTGCCACTGTGCCAGGCCGCTCTGCAGCTGCAGGAGGAGGCCAGCCGGCTGCAGCACACGGCCATCCAGCAGTGCAACATCCTGCAGGCACGTGCAGCCTGCCCCCCGCGTCTGCTGGCTGTCCCCACACCAGCCATGCAACAGCACATGAGTCACGGGCTTCTTTTCTTAGCAGTGTGTGGGCTCAGCCATCAAAACACACCCAGGGAGCTAAATCTGACAGATTGTTGTGGTTATATAAAATAAGGAGATGAAATGCTATTATTTGGATCACCCACAAAAGCCTGGGGAAAGCTCTATAAAAAATATCCGTTGCTGAAAACTATCTTTCAGCGATACTTTTTTTTTTTATAAAGAACACCTCATAGAGGTTAATTTTCTATCCAAGCATTTATTTTTATCTCTTATTTATCTGAGAATCATCTAGAACCTTGTCATATGACTGTACTGCTAGCATACATTACAGAATTTTTTTTTTTCATATTGATACACTGAATGCATTTTCTTACCTGAGAGGTATACACCCAAATGTGACTTTTAGTCTCATCACCTAAAAAAAGAAAAATCATTGACAGGAAGAAATGACACTATTTACCTCATATCACTTTTCATCACAGTTTTACCCTCTTTATCCAAAAATTGCATCCCTATCCTCTCATTAAATCGCTAATGGCCTATTTGGTCAGTTATCCTTGCTTCTTCCATTACCTTGTAATTTGTTAGACAGTGAATTCTGGAGGACAGAAATCATGCTGAATTCATTTTTGTATCCCCTCCTCCAATACTTACCAAGTCCCTTACATACATACAGAGGGTGCCAAAAAGTTTGTATACATTTTAAGAAAGGAAACTTGTATTAAAATTGTAATACTCAATGTATACCAATAACAAAAGATGAATACAAGTGATGTTTGACTTCTGCAATTCCAAGAGGTGCTCAAAGTGGTTACCATCAGTGTCCAGACACTTCTGTTTATGGCTTGAGCAACACTGACCAAAGTGTCCAATTGCATACATTTTTTTTGCCACCCCCAGTATTCAGTATCTCTTAGGTGGAAAAATGAAATAATCATGTATTTCCTACTGCTGCCTGCCATGCTCTGACCATGACATTGCCACCTTCAGGGCAGAATGAATAGGGAGAATACAGAGGATCTGGCCATTTAACTACTTTGAGTCCATGAACAGCCTTCGCAAAATATTTTAGAGAGAAGGCTCTGAGGATTTGAATCATCTAGAGACTTCACCCATCCTTGCTTTAATCCCTAGACACCCAGGTAAACAGGAGTTAACACTAGAGCTGAGCAGACAGCAACACAGACTCACTTACACAGTTATTGATACAGAAAGATAATCGTGTGTGTGTATTTGTTTGTTTTCAAAGGAGGCCATGGTACAATATGAACAGTATGAGCAGGAAATGCAGCACCTCCAGGAGCTGATAGAAGGAGCTCACAGGGAGATTGAGGATAAGCCCGTGGCCACCAGCAACATCCAGGAGCTGCAGGCCCAGATCTCTCGGCACGAGGTAAGACAGGAAGGAATGTGGGCGAATGTCAAGGGCAGGACACGGCTTGATCAGAGTATGTGATTGGTTTCTAGTGAATGACAGAGAAAGGTTCTCCCTGTCGGACCCGTAAGGTGTTCATTTCCTGGGTAGCATCGTTGGCTGTCTCTGCATTGTGAACGCTACTTTTGCTGATCTTTTCCAAGATCCAGTAGCATGAGTCTGCTCCTTGATTCCAAAACATCTTTACACTTGGTTCATGGTGTATCTCAATGGCGACCCACCGACTGTCTCCTGCACCTGAATTCTCACAGTTAAACCACCCAAGCCCAGTCTACTCCTGTATGTAAAGCCTGCAAGAAACAGTAATGCTTCATCCAGGCTTGCTGCTTCGATCGCCCTCTTTAAAAAGAAGGGATATTTCATATAAAAAAAGAAATCATTTGCTCTTTCAAATATAGGTCATTTCGGGTCCTTTCACCAAAATCAGAGAATGGTCCACATGTGGCTTGTTTTCCTGATTTCCAGATTGTGTGGCTGTTAGCATCTTCCCTATTTTCGAAGGTGCCTCCTTCTGTGTGCCTTTGGCATCATCATGACCTTCGGACTTGGACACCCCTTCTGCAGACCTGTTCTTAGCAGTCATAGACCTTGAGTGTTTGAGCCCAATGACACTTAGCATTGAATTTCCTTTCCTGATCTGTCAATTCCTATATAGGTCACATTTACTGTTTTCCTTGGGGGCTGGCTTATAGCATCATGAATTTTGTAAGTGACCAGGGATGGGGAGGCGTCTTATTTATCTGTGCCAAGGATGGACATTTAGTTTATATTTCCATCTGTTCTATTTTAACTTTGTTATCATAAAAGCAACAAACTGTTTCCAAACCAAACATCACAGTGAGGGTCTCAGCTGATTCAGTTGTTGCCTTTTAAAGATGGAAAATCTTTTCACCCGCCTCTCCAAATGCAATTCTTTAATATCTTGACACAGCCGATGCATCAATCACTTACATTTACATATAATTTACAAAATAATGTCAATAAATATCCTACCTACATTTACTCCTGCACTGTAGATATCATCTGTTAATTATTTCTCTTATGCCACTAAATAAATGAAAACGTCTTGCAAATATTTGAAACCACTGTTTCTATAACTCATACATTAGACTAAATATTACAAATTAGTTTGAAACTATTTTAAAGCACATTTTGCAAGATCCAGAATTTGGTTGTAACCTTTTCTATAATACTACAGAAAATGTATTTTTTAAAAATCTTCTCTTGAGTAACAAATAATTGTCATTACTACAGTTTTTTGTTTTACTTTTTGTAAACAATTTACAAAGCTTTTACATTATCCTTTAAAACAACTCTGTAAGGTAAGGATTGTTTTTTTTTTTTTTTATCATCTCCATTTTACTAATAAGAAAACAGGAACTCATTTTTTTTTTTGGATGACTTCCTGAGCTCCCAAATCTAGTAACTGAAAGAAACCAGATTCTAATCTAGTGTCTTTGGCTCCAAATTCCATAATTTTTCACTGTAGCAGGAACGATGTGGGCTACCTCACTGCACGAAGGAGAAGAAGAATAGTCCAGGAAAATGAGTGACTTGCCCAAGGTCACAGAGCCAGCACTCAGCACGGTCAGCCATAGGCTGTCTTCCTGGCTCCACATTCTCCTCCCAGTTCTAAACATCAGTGTAGACATTTGTTAGTGTTGTCATGTGATTCAGAAGACATTTTCACATCACAAAAGACATAGTCCTGTGAGAGGCTTATTGTATATGTGAAACAAACCCAGGAAGGAAAGTGCCGAGTGGAGAAAGCCTGATTTATGATAACATAAGAGTTGGGGAGAATGATTTTTCCTGTGTTTTCAGTCTGCATTTAATAGAAGTTCAGTCTTAAGGTAAGCCTCGTTTCCTTATGGATGACTGTAACTCATAAAAATAACTGATACTTTATTCATTTCTGGGGAAGTCCCATTTTTTTTCTTTTCTGTGATATTTTCAAATGCTGCATTTAGTTTGACAAAATTATCCTGCCACTTTGAAACCGGAGGAGAGAGTCGTCAGACCTCTTTGCTTTCTGCCTGCTCCGGGGCGCAGGAGGTGGCCCAGAGGCCAGCTTTCCTCAGAGCGGCCACTGTCCCTGAAATCCCCACCTTTGTGCCCATCCTTTACAAGCATTTTCAGAAATACCCAGTAAAAATTAAAAATGCATAGGCTTCCTGGGAATGGGGAACACATGAACCCATTAGTGTTCCATTTTAATTTAGTAGATTTGATCACCAACCCACAAAGGGAATGGGATATAGGCAGGTTTATTCTTACAGAAGAAAGTTCTAGAGAGCTATTTCTCCAAGGGAGTCACGTGGAATAACTATATAATGCAGATGCTCATAAGCCTAGTAAATCAAAATCTTTTTGAAGTAGAGACCAGAATTGCATTTTTAACCAACAACCCACCTGGGCTTTAATACACAATAATGTTGAGAGCTCCTGTTTAGGGAATGGGGTTTGCTGTCAGCATGGGCATGCGTTAGCAGGGTACTGAGGGCAGAGAGGATGGAAGGGCTAAGACTAACTCTACTTCACAAAGATTCCTCAAATCTACCTTGATGGGGAAGCCATTTTAAGAAGGCCAGTGATATGTCCTATGAAAACAGAATTCAAGGAGTACAGTGAGCTGGTAGATGTCTTCTGTATGTGCATGTTATCTAATTATTAATAGAGTACCCATGCGTTAGGCACTAGACCAAATAGTGGAGATAGCTATTTAATCACTGTTTTATAAACTCTGTAGGTTGGCTGAGTGGCTCAGTTGGTTAAGAGCTTGCTCAAGAGTGTGAGCTCTGAGCAATAAAGGTTCGAGTCCCGGCCTGAGCTGAGCTGCCCGCTGAGCTGCCAACAGGTGGCAGGATGGCTCAGCTAAAAAAAAAATAAATAAATAAAAACTCCATTAGGTGTAATTAAGTATCTAGCAGCCCTAAAATGTAAAGAAGTGATTTCTACTTTTAAAATCCTTGCTTTAGAAATTCCTGTACTATTCTAGATGTTAAGAAGACAGGCTGTTGACAGTTCTGCTGGACTGTTTTCCCTTCCACTCCATCAGTTTTGGATGGGAGGGGAGAAACAAAATGACAACAGGAACAAAACAGTACATGTGTATGCATAATATACATATACATGTAAACATATACAAATACATATAGATACACACATTTATATATATATAATTTTGTAATTGCTGTGGTTTTGTTTCTGAACTTCAAGTTCAAAGCTCTAGTTTGAATGTCAGTGTCTTTAAAATGATAGTATATACACATTCACTTTAAAGACTGACATTTAATGTCTTTGTGACAAAATGTGTTCTGTACAAACACTAAATGACAATTTTTCAGACAAGGGAACTAAATAAAAGGAATAGAAAAAATAATGGTTCTGCATTTTGAAGATTAATGTAGAATATACGTCTTTATTTCTTAAAGGTGCTTAGGTCTTTTAAGTAAGACAGTATAACTTTAATATTCTAGAATTACCATTTTAGATTATTTTAGAGCTTCAATCTCTTAGAATTCTTAAGAGCTATATGCTGTCCAGAATATATTTTCCATAAGTTCTTGGTAAAAGCTTAAAAACCTCTACTCCCAAGACAATTTTTTTCAACAACAGATGAATTTGAAATCCATTAAATTTGAATGAAACAAGTTCAGAGCTGTAGTTTTAAGCATCAGAAAGTTTTGAAGCTTGATGGAGTGTATGAGGGAACATGTGATGAAAGCACAACATTTTATTTTGGGAGTAATCTGCATAAAAATTAGGGTTTCATACGTAATATTCAGTTTTATCTACAAAATCAACTCCCAAGATCACAGGAGTGACAAGCAGTTTCGTTTGTGTCCCTGTCCGTAACAATTGGCTGCTCTATTGGAAATATTCAGTATGGTAAACGCTGAGCGTTGCATTTTTTTGTAGTGTAGTTATCACATGACCTAATTTCCATGGCATGAACCATCTGGCAATTTCAGGTTCTTCAGGCGTTTTAAAGAAAGTTGCCGGTTCTTCACATTACATGCACGCCTGCTTCCCCACACAGCATCCCTCCGGATTAGAATCCCCTAGGCGGCGGCCTTGTTTCTCCGGCCCCAGCACGGCGCTCGCAGCACCTCTTCCGGCTCCGCTGCGCTGTGGTCTGGCTCGGTGTGCGCTGCAGGCGGGCTGGCTCCTTTGCAGAGTCCACATCCTGCCTCCCCACGGCTGCCGCTGCTGCCGTCTGGCACAGCGCTGTGATTTCATTGGCCAGCCCCCGAGGAAGATGAACGCTACTTGCTCTGTTTCCTTTTGATGCTGCCCTGACACACGGGGGTGGGAAAATGTTTTCTTAGGAGCTGGCTCAGAAAATCAAGGGCTACCAGGAGCAGATCGCCTCTTTGAACTCCAAGTGCAAGATGCTGACGATGAAAGCCAAGCATGCCACCATGCTCCTGACTGTGACCGAGGTGGAGGGGCTGGCGGAGGGGACTGAGGACCTGGACCGGGAGCTCCTCCCCGCGACCTCGGCCCACCCCTCTGTGGTCATGGTAAGTAAGGATCGGGGCCAGGTCTGCTGGCACCGCGAGCTCTCCCCTAACTGTACCCTGGCTCCTGGCTCCAGGTTCCCTCTCTGTGGTTCATTTTCGGGATCATGGGTAGGTCTGGCCGATTAGAACGGAGGAACAGCCTACTTATTAACTCGGCTACATTGGGGCCAAGACCCATCTTTGACACTGTAAACAATGACAGTTGAAATGAAGTTGTTTGCCTAAGACTACTGAGTTACTTAATATGTCAAAGGTCGGCCCTGCATTTGTGTATAATTTAGCAATAACACTGAGAGGCTCTGAGGGTAAAAAAAAAAAACCCCTTTGCACAGTTTCCTAGTTTTCTGGGAGATGAGAGAATAATGCTACATACTATATTGTTTTCCGAGCTAAAAAACTCACTGACTACACATGGGTATTAAGTTTTGTAAATGTTTAATAAAATGTAGAAGAAAAGCTGTTATTAGAAAAAATAAGAAAATGGAAGATCCAAAGTTTAGCTTCGGATTAAAATAAGTAAGTTCCATTAATTTCTGTCTACAACATTATTTCCCCATCACTTTGCATTTAAAATGCATTAATTATTGTGGTAACTCAGTGTATGTTTTCCAAACATACGTAATGTGCCGGAATAGTGCATAACCATACCTGGACTCTTGTGACGATGTATTACTTTGGGTGCACTTAACTCCCTAGACTATTTGGAATTCAAGATGTCTATGAAAGACCAAGCATTATTTCATACACTCTCCCCTCATTTATACAATTCATGTTTTTACCAGTTATTTATAAAGACACAATCAAGAAAAGTAAAATAATTTAAATAAATAGTTAATCAACAACAAAACTTTTTCATATGACATATACCCCCCATCCCCATTTGTTTAACAAACGGTTCCTAGCATCATAGTCACTTGAACAAAGCTTTTAAATTCTAATACAGAATATGTATGTAAATATGGGTCTCAGTAATTCTAAACTTTGTTTTATATAAATTATCTCTGTTTTGAACTGTGCTTGACCAGGCCTTTTAACATAGCTAACTGATTTTTATGTCCTTGGGTTACATTTTATGTGACAGATGACTGCAGGTCGCTGTCACACTTTGCTGTCACCTGTCACTGAAGAGTCTGGGGAGGAGGGAACCAACAGTGAGATTTCCTCTCCACCTGCCTGTCGTTCCCCTTCACCTGTGGCTAATACAGATGCTTCTGTTAACCAGGTACCGCCCACTTGGCATTCCCCTAGCTGCCATCTCTGGAGGGATGCAGGACTCCATTCTCTGTTCTTATCAGACTGCAGGTGTGAATTGTAGACTTTGAAGAGCATACCATTGGGGGGTGATAGTTGCACAAGCTGTGATTGTCATGTGAGGCCACGACTGGCTTTATACATCTCCTCTCCAGGGCGCCTGGCAATGAGATGAGCAAAAACAAGGTCACAGAAATTATAGCTGGAGGAGGCCCTGTTTTAAGGCATCATGGGTTTAGTTTCTAACAGCCGTCTATAATGAAGTCCTGCATCCTAACAGAAAATGAAGCATTTGCATCACTGCTGTAAAATAATGTGATCCTGTTGCTGTTTTAGCATTGAACATAGTTTTGACTCCTACTATCTCAGATTTTGAAGATAGAAAACTTCTGTTCATCATATCATACCTTTTCTTTATTTGCTAATGGTCATCCAATTTAAAGGGCTGACTTCCTATATATATATATATAAATATATATATATATATATATAAATAATATATATATATATATATATTCATACATAACACACACACACTCTTGTATATGTGTATGTGTGTATATATATGGAAATATATATGTAGATTTGAGTTTTCTCAGTTATCTTTCAATAATCTTATTTTTTTCTTATAAAATAGGAATAATACTTTATTTTCATGAGATGCCTTTTAGCGTCCATTATATTAAAATAGATTACACAAAATTAAATGTCAAAAAGTTTTCATGAAAAATATAGTAGATAGAAATACAAAGATGCTTTTACACTAATCAAAAAATTAATGCATATAAATAATACTTTTCTTCATTTAGCCAAAACAACTAAAAATTGTTTTAAATTATGTGACTTTGAAATTATGTAAATGTTGAAAGAGGTTGAGCTATATTATCAAGGAAGAGGCACTAAACAGAGCCAGTGTTCTATAAATTATATTACAAATCAATCATACTATTTCTGTTTTAAAGCAGAAGCATTCCAAATAGGATTTCTGTGAGAAAGAGAACTCCCCCTTGCCCCCCCCTCCTCAAAAACTGATGAAAACTTTAGATAAAATAGTTCTCTTGGTAAAAATCTATATAGCCCTAGGGCAGTTGTCTATTCATCCGTCATCACATCCATTCTGAACACCTGCTTGGCATGAAACCTTGTGCTGTGTCCCAGAGATGCAGCAAAGGAGAAGATAGCTGTATTCTCTGCCCTCAAGGCCCTTAAAATCTAGATAGGGAGGTGGCTTTGGGAGGAATAATAACCAAAGTGATCAGATGAAATTAAAAAACAACAGAAAAAGGAGAAGTGCTGGGTGCTCTGGAGAAGTTGGGGAACTGTTCTCCAAATTCGGATTTTAAAATATATATGTATTACTCATTCTTTAACAGTGTTCTTCCCTGCGGTCACAAATGTTATTAGAATCAGAGAAACATGGCTATCGTCAGCTATTTATTGTCTAGGAAAAGTTTATGCCTAATGTTCTTAAAATTTTCAAATTGAACCATAAACGCTGACCTTGAGATTAACACTGAGTGAACAAGATCCCTTTTCTAAAATTATAAGTCTAGATGCTACTTCTTGTACAGTGTCTTTCAATATACATGTGAAAGTACCCTGTAAATGATGAAATGTGCAAACGTTTTTGTTGTGATAAATTTAACCATCAAGCTCAAACAAATCCCAGAATTATACATGAGATTATGCTGTTTAAACCCCATTTTGACCCTCCTCTCCCATCACAGGAAAACATCAGTTAAATCACGTTGTTAACCTAACATATGCGGTACTACAATTTTTTTTTTTAAGTCTTTGCTTAGTTTATGTTAGGCAGCTATACTCTGAGGAAGCTGTTAAAATGCAAAAGTATTATACTTGGTGTTGCTCAAACAAATCGACCCATCGTTGTGTGGCCATATGTTCTTGTACACCAGTATAAGTGAGGGGAAAAAGAACCAATACTACACCATGGCTAGTGATGCATTGGGTTTACAAAGTTTTCCTTGAAACTGAGGGGAACATTTAGAATCCCCATAAGGTCCAGTTTTTAGCCTCAAAACACTGTACAGAATGTGCACAACTGTTTCAGGGAGCAGCCAAATATAACTGCTTTATAAAATCGCAGCTGTTAAAAAAGGGTTCCGTGCTTGCTGCTTCTGAAAGTAGATCTCCCTTATATAACTAACTGATTCCCCATAGTCCGTGTGTTCTGCCTCTGACAGCAGCTATTAGCTGAAATGTGGTAAGACTTTCGCTTACTTGAGGGCAGAAATAATGAGGCCGCCCCAGAAAGTGCTGCAGGCTTCTCAATTCCTTTAGAAGCAAAGCGAGCCAAGACTCCAGCGCCTGGGAAGAGCTGAGGAAAGCAGAGGTTTGAAAGGGCGATGGTATAACCAGGTCCAGCTCTTCCTCCTCGAAGCTGAAAGTAGCTGGAAAGTCCCTCAGTCCCCTGGTTTGTAATTGGAAGCAATGCTTCTCAATTCACAAAATTGTGAAACATTTTAAAATTGGATATTATTTGTAAAATTTGGCTTTTGACTGCAAAATGCTAATTAAATAGCAGCTGTGGTTTTCCAAATTGATTTACTTAGGAATCTACGTGATAACAATTTTCATAATTTAGGCACATAAGCAATGAGATGTAATTCTAGGAGCAGTTACTCGCTATGCCAAATATTTAAGTTACTCATAGGACTGATTGATTTATTTTATTGAATCTGTGTAGTCCTCAAATAGATCAAAGTTATTCATCTACAAAAGGTGACATATTATATGTTCAAACCCTTTTAAGAAACCAAGAGTTGTCATTCAGGTCTAACAGGCCTGAGCCATACACACACTCACAATCACTCACACACAGAAGAGCCAGAAAAAAGATTTTTAAGTGACAAATTTATTTTGTTCTAGCTCTTTTAAGATCCTTCTTTATTTATAATAGAGCAAGGAAAAATGTTTACAACCTTTAAGGCAACTTTTGTTCCCTTGTGGACAATAATAGTATATTAATGTATATAAAATAATAGATTTTACCGAAGTACGTTTACAACTATGATTCATTCTGGGCATATACGTCTGCCTGTTATTTGCCAAACACTCCACAGCGTTAGGATCGAAGACTAAAGACACATCTGCATCTCTGTAGCGCTAACAGTCTGTATGACAGCAGGCCAGTGATTACAATAGACTGGGACAAGTGCTGGGACAGTGGGAAACACGAGTGTGAAAAGAGGCACAGAGAAAGCTCTGAAACTAGGCTGGAATTTAGTACAGGTCAAAAATGGCCACCTTTAGCTTTAAGACGAGTAGAAGTTAGGCAGCTGGAGCGCACTGGAGCGATGTGCAGTGTTTCAGGCAGAAGGAACCATGTGTGGGCAGGTGTGGGGGGCGGAAGGAAAATGTACCCATCCAGGTGTGTGCAAATAGCGCCAGCATAATGGGACATACCCAGGTTTGGAGGAAAAGGAGGGAGAGAAATGAAGCTGAGAGGGATGCAGGAAACACATCATGAAGGACCTTGAATGCCACGCAGAAGAATTTCAACTTTATCCAGACGCTAATAGTTAACTATTGAGGCAATTATCTAGAAGCTGTGTACAGAGTGAGTTTTGGAACAGATCATTCTGGACCAAGGTGGACAGTAGAACGGAGATGGAGAAATTCGGAGCCATAGAAGCCAGTTAAGGATCAGAGTTCCGCTTGTGATGTAAGTGAGAGAAGCAGCAGGGGGCTGTGGCGACTGGGACAGTGCTTCTCCAGGTAAAGGAGGCAGCTCCTCTGTGTTGGAATTACTGTAGCCACGTGGACACAGAGTCCACTCTCACCTACCTTCTGGTTTGCAAGAGAAGCTGTGAATCTGGATTCTTGTGAAATCTCCCTGTCTCAGTGAAGAGAAATTTTAAACGATGTAAAACACTGTATAAGCTGAGCTAACTATGTACTGGCCAGAGGCAGCTTGCAGACTGCCAGCTTGCAGCCTGGGAATTAGGAAGCTGGTGCTGTAATGAGAACTTGAACCAATGCTGTGGCAAGGGCATGCGTCCATAGAACTTCATCCTTATATAAGCAGTGGGTGGTAAGGGAGAGAAGAAACAGAGAATCAACCTCAAATTTATAGTTCAGGTGAAAGATGGATAATACTTTTATCATTTTTTTCCTAAATCCATTTTTCATCCTGGATTCTTTTTTTTAATGTTGAGTTGAAATAGATTGTGGGATATATGTGTACGACTGCGTGTGTGAGTCGGGAACTTATAAATACACCAATGTTGAAGAATGAATGAAGAAAACAAATTACAAATGAGTAAGATCAATTGACTAGAGAGCTGGGAAGGGAACAGAGAGATTACAGGGAAAGTATTTCCAAAAAGGGATGGCCAGTGGCATTGAATGCTATTGAGAGATCAAGTGAGAGAAAGAAAAGTAATCATTTTATTTTATAGTTAAGAGCCACTGATGACCCAGCAAGAGCAATTTCAGTGGCGCCATTAGGATTGAAGCCCAATTGTGTGTTTAGAAGTGGATTGAGGGTGAGAAAGTGAATATATCAAGTGTAAACTACCATTGTCAGATACTGGATTATGAAGTAAAAGGGAGACGAGGAAGAAATGGTGACTATACACGTGCGCAAGTGTATTCACGTGTGATGACCCATCGTATTAGGGTTTGTGGAATGTTCTAACATGTGATAACCTGCAAGAAAAAAGTTGTAAAAGAAAAAGTGTGTGTAGGTGTTTTCAGATGGAAAAGATTTGACTCTATTTATATGCTGAGGAGAAAGGCAGTCGAGAGGGAGAGGGAGAAGATACTTAGGACCAAGGTCGAAGGAATTCTGGGAATAGGTGGGAGGGTCCTCCTGAAGCAAGGAAACTGGTGAGCATAAGATAAAGGTGAGTCTGCACATAGACTTTTGGAAATTTAAGTTCAGGAGTTTCTCTTTGATGGCTCTGTGTGTCTGTGTGTCTGTGTACATGTTTTGCGTGCTCGCACACACATGCACTCTGGAAAGTAAAGTTAAATTGAGTCCTGGTTGGGGTTTTCCAAGTGGGAGAAGCAGAGGTTGACGGGGTAAAGGAAACAAGAGTGTTGGCAAGAGAAGGGTTTAAGTAACTTTAGAATGGCGCGTCCATGTGGAGTGGACCAGTTCAGTGATGACGGGCTATCATGTTCAAGGGTGTAGAGCGGAAGTGGGTGAGGGTGAATGAGCTGAGCTTATCAAGGACTCAAGAATACCAAAGCAATTGACCCAAGATGGTGACAGGGCTAGGGATGAAAAGGAACCAATCTCCATGTGCCAATGTCATCAATAAACGTGAGGGGACTTATCTGGAAGCCTCAGCAACAACAACAACAAAATAGGTAAAAGGTCTCATGGCCCTTCAAATGTGACTTCATTTAATCCTCAGAGCCAGTCAGTGTCATGCAGATGAGGGAACCTATGCATGAGATGTGAGTGACTTGCTCCAATTATATAGCTACTCAGGAGGAGGATTTCAACAGGGATCTCAGGTGTCCTGACTTCTCAGGTGTCAGACTCCTGTCTGAACTCCTTCTGCTGCACAGCCCTGCTTCTGCCCTCGTACAGACCCCCAAACGCCAGGCCCCTTCCTGTGTTACCTCGGTTTCTCGGGTGGTGGGGGCCTGCGTCAGTACTTTTTACCAAAACATTGATATCAATAAGGTATTTTAAATTACCATAAATTTCTTCAACAGGACAACTGCAAAAGAAGTGAACCTTATAATAGCAATTCCCAGAATATTAACATTACTCCCCAATTCAATTTCTATTATCACAGATATATAACCATAGAAACAATTAAAAACATATGCAGTATATGTTTTGATATAGTAGATTCTGTCACCAATACTAATATGTAATACTACTTATAACCCAAGAAATAAAAATAACTCGAAAGCATGGTTTTTTGTTATTCACTTTGATTTTTTTTTTTAGTGTACTTCCAAGAATTGGTTAGAAAGAAAACCTTTTTATTATTTGCTTCTTACAGTAGTCTTAACTTCCCCATTACATGTTTCCCTTATTTAATATTAAAATGTTTAGATTAATTTCTGTGAAGAGTGAATGCTCAAATATTGAAGATCTGCCTATGTGTGAAAAATGACTTTCTATAGATTTAATTTTATTTGAGCAAGTACTTTTAAAATTATTCAAAACTTGAATCAATATGTTAAACAACATTTTAGGAAATGTTTATAAAAGATCATTTAGATTCCCTATTTTTTGCTGTACTAGTTAATCAGTCTTTAAATATCTGTAATGCTTGTGTCTTTTGTATTTCTATTTTACCAAATATAAAACAAGAATGAGTTTTGGCAACTTGAAGTATTGGTAAATTCGTTCATTTTCTTTAAAAGTATAAACTGAAATTCTAAAGCAACTATAATGTGCTTTAATACACTCTTTAAATTCCTCCTGTCACAAGCATTTACTACAAGTTTGTAGTCCCTGGGACCGGTGTGAATCTGAAACCTTTTCCCCGTGTGACAGATAGCACCCAGAGCATGTGACCCTAAACTCTGCCCTGCCCTTGACTCCAACGCCGTGCTTTGCACCCACAGGATATTGCTTATTACCAAGCCTTGTCTGCTGAGCGGTTGCAGACAGATGCCGCAAGAATTCACCCCAGCACATGGCCATCCCAGGAGTTCTACGAGCCAGGCCTGGAGCCATCGGCAACTGCCAAACTGGATGACCTGCAGCGTTCCTGGGAAACCTTGAAGAACGTGGTAGGTCTTTGAAACGTGGGGTTGTCAAAGCCCCCCAGACCTCACCTTAGTGGTTGTCTTATGCAATGCATGCCTAGAGTTTACACATCCTGTGCACGGTTGAGTACCCTTTGTTGGGCCACAGAGGTAAAGCAGTGAGGAAAGAAATGTCATAATCTAGAAGATAAGGGGCTAGGGAACATTTGGTAACATCCCGTTTCTTCTTTAGATCAGTGAAAAGCAGCGCACACTCTACGAAGCTTTGGAACGCCAACAAAAGTACCAGGACTCCCTCCAGTCCATCTCTACAAAAATGGAGGCTGTTGAGATGAAACTCAGTGAGAATCTAGAACCTGGCAGGAGCCCAGAAAGTCAGATGGCTGAACATCAGGTAAAAATAGCGATGACTTCAGTTTCCTGCATGGTTAAATTAGTGCACTCTTGTCACTGACTGGTCATGGGCCAAGCATGCATTGGGGAGAGCAGACTGACATTTTTTTTTTTACTATATCAGTTCTTACAGAGTAAACAAGGTTCCAAATGGTGGTTGTTTCCACTGCTGCTTCAGGGAGGGACCTAAGAGGGGAAGAAAGAAATTCAGACCTGGAATCTAATTAAAGAAAGCTACACGCATTGATGTTGCTTTTTTACTTTTAGTACACCAGGTGTATTTCCTTATACCTGCCACATTATTTTTATTTTGTTGCAAACTCTTGTTGTAAGAATAACATGTCACCACCCCCACCCCCGCAAATGGCATCTCCATTCTCTGGGTGTTGTTTTAAGAAACGTAGGGAGTCTGCCCAGCTCCTCCCCATTAACACTTAAGAGAAGAGCTCTCAGACGTCAGTGGGCAAAGGAGCAGTTGAAGAATGTGGGTTCTAAATTACACTCTGCTGCTTGTCCCTGACTTGAATCATTTTTTTAAAAGGTATGTAAACGAGGCAAAGCATAGGTTTCCATGGGAAGCAGATGTGATTACACTAATCTAGATCAGAAAGATATTGTTAAAAATGCATCAATTTAAAATGCATGATAAGAGAGTGCATATATTAATATCTGGTTAATGCTTTAGCGATATTGTTAGATGTCATACTCTTACTGTTCAATCGAGTATAACTGAGGTGCAAAGGTACTAAGGTGTGTGTGCATTCACCTAAATATTCAGTCACCGTGATGCGGGGTATGTTGTCTATCCCTGACCAGAACTCAGGGGCACGTGACAGCCCTATAAAAGGCGCAGAAGAGAAGAAAGATATTTTTAGATGCAAAATAAGAACTACAAAAACGCTGTGTGATACGTGTATCTATCGAGTACGGGGAAGTTTATCAGCTTTCAGAGTGAAACTATACTTTATCTTTCCCCTACTTTACATTTGTGTTATTTCAGGACCCATGATAACCTTGGAATAATACATTGCTTGTTCATATGTGTAGCCTAAGATAAAATTGCATTATTTTACTGTATAGGACCTTGCAGTATAACACAAAAATAAGAACGTTTCCTCGAGAGACAGCATGTTGAGAAATAGTGATTTCAGGGTTTTGACACTTTTGAACCTTGTAAGATAGAGATCAAAATGCACGGCCTCTATTTTGGGCCTTATTTTGATCAAACTACCTTCTGTGGGTCTTGCTGCTGTCCCAACGTCTGTCTGGTTTGGGGAGGGTGCTATAAAAATAAAAAATTAAAATTAGCGTCTGTCTACCTAGACCACACCGATCCTGAGGGCAGTCAGAGACTTCAGTGACGAGTACAGTGTAGTTTCCCTCTGAGCACCGCAGTCCCGTGTTCTAATTGCACACGGCCACCTCGTTGTCATCTGCTTCCTCGCACCCCCACCACCTATGCCTCATTGTCCCTGGAGGGGCAGGAGAACTTTCCTCCATTCCGTGACAGCTCCCTTTGACCTTCCAAAAGGAATTTGGGATCAATTCCCTAAAAGCTGGAATGGAGTGCATTTGAGTGTCACTCGCTCAGATTATCACTGGCCCATATTCCGGGAGAATATTTACATAGTTTGACTCTCTCTCCTCTCCGATCACCTCTGTCTTTGCTCAAGGCTCATCATTCTTGTGTCCCAGGTGACTGACCGCAGCTCCCAAAGACCCTTCACTGGGTCCCCCAGGATTTGGGAACTCCATGAACATGGGATCCTGGTGATCAGCCCCGACGTTCGGGAGTTCCTAACTGAGAATGTCATTCAGCTCCTAGTCACCACCACCACCCTGCCTCCTGGTGATTATCGAAAACACTCTACATAAGCTGAATGTAGAATCAATTGTTACTTTGTTCAAGGGATTTCATGGAGAACACTCAAAATTGCACATGAAGACTAAGTATTCTAAATTAGAAATGAGTCTGTGACTTTTCTTGTCGTTAAGGCCAACCACGTGACGTTTTGCCCCTTTCTAAGTTGGGAGGGGTAATGCTAACAGTTCTAGCTGTGAGGAGATGTAGCTAACCCAATGATTCCCTGTTATTGGAGCTTAACAATTACATGAGTGCTCTAATGAGAGGGAAAGCAAATATTAGATAATGTATAATTCCTCATGGAATCACAAATTGAACATTTTTCATCTGACCTACTTCTGCTAACTTTGGCTGTCTGTACCTAAGTTCTACAAATTCTGGGACAGAGCTGCCCACATGCAAAGCTAATATCACAATGTCTAAATCAGAGCTTAGCTTCTGGAGTGGTGCTTAAAAAATTCCAAGCGCTACTGTAGAATCACTGTGTCTAAATTTCAACTGAATGTGGGTGAGACAGTCCAGTGTGCTTTTTATATTTCCTAAAAAAATTAATAGGCTTGATCACTGCACTGTACACCTGAAGCTGATGGTGAATAATATTTGTATGTCAACTATAATTGTCATAGTCACGGGACGTGGAGTATAGTGTGGGAGTGGAGTCAAGGGAATTGTAATAGACACGTATGATATGGGGGTGGAGAGTGGGGCGGTGGATTGGGGGAGGGGGGTTGTCACTTTGAGGGGTAAAAAATATAACTAGTGCACTGTGTTTTACAGCTGAAACTAATTAAAAAATGTTTATTTCACAATAAAAAACAATCTGTAGTATTAAAAAATAAAATAAAATACATTTTAAAAAAATTAATAGAAACACTTTTAAGTGTTATTTCCCAACACTTCTTGGAAGTATTCAGTTTCTTTAAAGAGCTAACCTATTTCCTACATTTTGCCTTTAAACACTTGTCCAAATCTACTGAATGTGGGTGGAGCGCAGTGCCTTTCCTGTTGTCCTCTAAAGTGCACAATAGATTTAATTTTAAGACATTAGTGCAATTCGTAAGCTGACTTCTGGCTGTTCTGAGTAAGCCCTCTGTGGTGGCAACCTCCACTGTCACGGGCAGCTAAGGCCTTGTGGGCATGTGTTGTTTTCACCACTCGAAGCTCAGTGATGGAGAGATAGTAGACAGAGCTCTCAGATTATTTTGGTTTTGTTTTTGTGTTTTTAATACGTGTAACAACTGTGTACAGTTTGAACCAAACTGTACTGATAGTTCTGAAAGTCCCAGTGAAATTCATGTTTCCCTTTGGTGTTGAACCAACCACGTTCTCCCCAGACTGAGTCATTTTATTTAGTTATTTTTTTTTTATTAGTTTCAGGTGTATAAGACAACATACTAGTTAGACATTTACACCCCTCACAAAGTGATAACCCCCCTAATCTACCATTCCTCTGACACTGTATGTAGCTGTTACAATACCATTGACTATATTCCCTGTGCTGTACTTTACATCCCATGACTAATATATATATAAAATACATAATATATAAGTATTATATATTATGTATTATATATATAGTTAATTATAATTGATGTTCAATATTATTCTATTTCAGCTTCAGGTGCAGAGTGCAGTGGTCAGGCATCTACACAGTCTATGAAGTGATCCCCCTGATAAGTCCAGTGCCCATCTGGCACTCTACATGATCTTTATAATATTATTGATTATTAATATAGTCCCCATACTGTATTTAGTATTCCTGTGACTATATTGTGACTAGCAGTTTGTACTTTCTAATCCCTTCACCTTCTCCCCCATCCTCACCCCTTCCCATCTAGCAAGTGAGTCATTTTAGAGAAGCTCAAGGTACTTCTCTAAACCACGTGAGTGGCTTGCACACTCCCCCCTTATAACCGCAAGTCAGAAACCCAAAGACGTACGGTTCATCTTCCTCTCCTTATTTCTGAGTCAGATGTTGTAGGGAAGCAGCTGGCCACCAGCTGAGATAGAGTTAGGGGTAAACATGCATTTGACTGCTGGACTTTTTTTTTTTAATTGAAGTGAAATTCACATCTCGAAATTAACCATTTTGAAGTGTACAATTCTGTGGCATTTAGTGCTTTCACAAGTCATACAACTACCCCGTCTATCTGGTCTCAAAAACATTTTCATCACCGCAAAAAAAAAAACCCCATCCCCAGTAAGCTTGGCTGCTGGATCTTAAAGTTAAAAACTACTGCCGTCTTCCAAAAATATCCCCTCTCCCTTGAGAGGAAACTGAAGCATGATGAGAGAGAGCTTGACTGTAACCGGATGGAAATGAACAGTTCTAAAACCTTTTATTTCCTAATTCTTTCACTGCTTACTTCACAACATGAAAAAGAGCTGTTTTAGAACATGGTTAGTTGGAAATGGAAGCTGGTGACTTCACTGCACACTTGATTGGTCAAATCCACTGAGATTAAACGTGGAGGCTTTTTTCCTGATTGCTTCATGATTCCGATACATGTTTTCTCTATTAGGAATTACAATTAATTCAACTAGATGTGTTGAGCACCTACTATGTGCACAGCTGAAAGAGACAAACTTTTTCATTAATGCATGATTGAAAACCATGCTTTAGGGGGTGGAGTGAATTACCAACACATTGTACAAAAAAAAAAAAAGGGCAGTGTGATTGTGGGCTACAGTGGTGGGAAGGAGACTCTATCAGGTCTTTGGGAAACACAGATTTTGAAAAGTTGGAAGGGCAGGAGTGGGTAGAGGGCACTGTGAATGTAGGCGTGTGAGGAAAGGCACGGCGGAGAGAATGAGAATGAACAGGGTGTGAAATAATGCAGGCTCGTCTTGTTTGCACAGAGAGTCAGTGCAGAAAAATGGGGTCACTGTGGTTATAGAGAAGCCTTTACATTAAACAGACCAAATAATATGAATTGTATACTTCTGGCAATCAGGTACATACTGAAAATGATTATCAAGTAGCAGGAAATGATTTTCTGGACAAAGAGCATCTTGAATGTATAACAAACAAGATCTACCTTGTAACTTCCTTACAATCCCATTAAAATATCTCAGCAAGTTCTTTGGTGGACATTGACAAGCTAATTCTAAAATATATTACAAACGTATGACAAGATACACATTGGAAAGGGAAAGGTCACGAATAGCCAAGACAAACGATGAAGGTGATCAGCTCTTTCTACCTGCAACCCCATGAGAGACGTTCACAGTCAGGGTGTGAAAGAAGCCAGATACAAACCAGTGCATCAGGTGCGATTCCATTTACAAAGAGCTCCCGAACAGGCAACAGTGACAGGGAGGAGGTCCAGGGGGCTCATAGAGTCCTGATAGCGTTGTGTTCCTTGATCTGGGTGTCAGGAGCATGGGGACGTGCGGTTTGTAAGCGTTCATAAATTCGCATCGACAGTTTGTCCACTTTTCTAGGTGTATATAATCATGTCAATAAAATAGTTTATTTTAAAAATCAGCTACCCATGATCACACTTGATATTGGGGAAAGAGAAGGATTTTCTGTTGTTCTGTTTTTTAAATATTCATTGGAAGGCCATTCCCTCTGCGATGGCCCTGTATGTACAGTGAAACCTAAGGGCCCGTGGGAGAGGTGGCAATCGTGCCTGTAGGGGCGCACTGGAAACTGAAATAGCAAATATAAAGCCCGTATTTCTTTACTTGAAGTCACGGTGGCCCTTCCCGCCGTAAGGCCTGTCTTTCTCATACACCATTTAAATCCTAAATAAGAATTTCTCCTGTCAAGATTTCAGCTGAAGCGCAAGTCATAAAACATGAAAAATGAGAAATAAACACCATGTATACTTGTGATAGATAATCAGGGAAATGGGGTGCTCTTTTCCAGAAATTGCGGGTCCTGGAGTAGCTAACAAAGGCAGGGATGAAGTGAGCAACAAGAGAGCATGGTATGAGAGGCAGGCAGGGGTGAGACCCTACAAGTATGGCCAGGAGCTTGGGTTTTATTTCAGAGGCAGTGAGCCGCTAAGTATTTTAAAATGGCGGGGTGGGGGTGGGGGGCAGGTGAGAGGACCTGATTTACCTTTTTAAATATTTACTCTAATTACTTCGTGAAAGGTTGCCTGGAGAGACAAGGGTATATATGCAGGTGGGTCCAGGGGTAGACCATTAGAGCAATTCAGATAACAGGTTTGGCTCTGACTTAGGGTAGGGGCAGAGGAAACGTACAGATACACAAGGTATATTTTGGAGATAAAACCAATTGGATTTGGTGTCGGATTGGATTTGGCAAGTAAAGGAAAGTGGGAATTATGACTCCTGGGTCTGGAGGTGGAGCAAAGAAAAGAAGGGTGGTGCCTTATTCCTGAGGTGGGGAGGTCGAGGTTGGGGGACAGGCTTTATACAGAATAGGAGATGCCCATGAAACATGTGAGTGGAATATACAAGCCTGACATTTAGGGCTGATGTCTGGGTTAGGGATATAGGTACCTTTGGGAGTGTTCAGCCCTAAAAGACTTGAAAGCCTAGGGCTGGATGACATCATCTGGGAGGGGCTGTGAAGAGAGGAGAGAGGGCCTGGAAATTAGCCCTGAGAGACTTCAAATTTTAGAGTTGGGAGCAAAGGAGAAAAATGAGGACAGGGTGGTGACATAGGAACAGGTGACAGATTTCCCCTGCCTTGTATAAGTTTTGGATTCAAACATACTGCTTGTCTCAGACTTGGGGCCATTTGGAGTGAGAAGTCATGTTGAGAAAGAAAGCGACAAATTTTATTTTCAGTGTAGAATTGTGGACTCAGACATAATTGAGCGTATGCCTCTCGGATATAGACGAGCCTGTTGAAAATGGAAAAATTCAATTAACTTGTTCAAATTTACTTAAGTTAGTGACACAAACTGTTTTGAAATCAGAACTTTTCCGACACGTAGTCTGGTACTTTCATTGTGAAACTCAGGTTAGCAGGCCCCCTGTTTGCTGGTTAAATGGCTTCAAGTGAAATAACTTCACTAATCTCAGTGGATGTGAGACTTGGCCTATAGTGATAGGATTTCTCAGTCCCCAAAACAGCACATACATGAGAGTGATTGCCGTCTTTCCTGCAGGCTCTGATGGACGAGATTCTCATGCTTCAGGATGAAATCAGTGACCTTCAGGCATCGCTCGCAGACGAGCTGGTGTCCAAGTCCCCAGAGTGCGACCCCGCGGAGCAGCTGGCCCTGCAGTCCACGCTCACTGTCTTAGCAGAGCGCATGTCCACCATCAAGATGAAAGCATCAGGGAAACGGCAGCTGTTGGAGGTAACGAGCTCTGCAGGTGCCCTCACATCCTCCTGAACTCTTAACGGTTGTGTTGGCGAATATCTGAGTTACTTATGTGATGTCCATTTTTATTGTTTCCCTGCTCTGAAGAAGCTGGATTTGTGTCTCCAGGAGGGTCTCGGGGACAGCACTGAGTCAGTGTATAGCCATGAATGTGTCTTTTCACCCCTTTCTGCCTCATTTCAGCATGAAAAATTGAGCATGTGCAAAGCAAATACTTGGTAGACAAGCCTGTGAAGAAGAATTGTAGGTTTGCACAATGGCTCGTTATGTTTAACTAAGAGGATTTTATGAATAGTATTACTAATGCTGCGAAGAATAAATCCTTAGTTGCTGCTAGCCAGTTCATGCACGCTGATTCAAGAAAATCTGTTCTTGCAATTCCAGCTTTCCTGTTACCTAACTTTAGTACAGAAGGTGCCAAAAAAAAATGTATACACATTTTAAGACAGGAAAAAACTGTGTTAAAATTGTAATACTCAATATATACCGATAACAAATGATGAATACAGGTCACGTTTGACTTCTGCAGTTATAAGAGGTGCTGCAAGTGGTTACCATCAGCGGAATTTCAATACAACTTTCCTTTCTTAAAATGTGTATAGATATTTTTGGCACCCTCTGTATTATTTAATACAGAGAAATATTTTGGTAACAATAACGTATGTGTTAAAAATAAGTTCTTTTCCTTTTTCTTTGTTCTCATAACTCCTGGCCCTAAACATATATGATATTAGACTAGAGACTCCATAAAGACCTTCAGAGCATCTGTCTCCTTGTATAATATCTCCAGTGTCTATAGTTGCTTCCCAGAGATGTAATCAGTTCTCAATACATTTCTTAGTATATGAACTTAATATTATTTTATATAGCTGGTTATGGCGTAATTCAATTAGCCATGGTCCTAGTGCTGGGTATGTAGGCTCTTTCTAGTTTTACTTATTATAAGATTAGTTAAATCATATATTTATCTATTTCTTGTTTGTGAGAAATCTAAAATCAACATGTCAGCTCTATGTACTCTTTATTTTAAACTATGTTTTATTTTTTTTATTTTTTATTTTATTTTATTTTTTTTTTAGCTGAGCCATCCTGCTACCTGTTGGCAGCTCAGCGGCTGCTCAGCTTGGGCTGGACTCGAACCGCTGTTGCTCAGAGTCAAACTCTTGAGCGAGCTCTTAACCAACTGAGCCACTCGGCCAGCCCTTAAACTATGTTTTAAAAGTTTAAGTTTAAAAATAAGAAATTATTCATAAAATATTTTTTAAAGTAGAGTAACTTAAGACTTAAAATTTTAATTTATTAATATTGTCCCCAGTTACTCTACGAAACCCTTGTGGAGTTTCAAAATATAGTGATGGGCCTGGATTTTTTTTTTAATATGAATTATTTGCCATCATTGAAAAGAACCCAGAGATCTATCCAAAAAATTTAAATTTCTGTCTTCACTCAAGAAACTAGCACCACTAGGCCACCATTTCTGGCAGGAAATCAATGGCCTGAAGCTGCATGATGTTGCCTTTTGAGGTGGGCCCTGTTCTTCAGTTTGTCACAGCCCCCACCATTCCCTACAGTTTCCCCAGCATTGAGGTCAAGCACCTGTTGCCATTTACTGACTGTCTCTGGCCATTGCTTTGCTCTAATCCTTGATCAATTTCCATTCATTCACATTATCTTCCTGGTCCCACAGGTATGTTACTTAAGAGCCCTTAAATGCTAGGTGCACATTAGAATCATTGGAGAAGCTTTCAAAAAAATACTAATCTTGAGACGCACTTCCAGAAGTTCTGACTTGTTGTTCTGGTATGTGGCCCAGGCAAAAGCATTATTTTTTTTTTAAAGTTTCACAGCTTATTCTGATGTTAAGCCAGGGCTGAGAACCAGTGCTCTACTGTGTTGAAGTCTACTGATTTTACCCTCAGGTGATCCATGTTACCGTCTGCTTAATTCATTAGGAGAAGTTAAACGATCAGCTGGAGGAACAGAGACAGGAGCAGGCCCTGCAGAGATACCGCTCTGAGGCTGACGAGCTGGACCACTGGCTCTTAGTCACCAAGGCCACCCTGGACCTTGCACTGGGTGCACCCAAGGAGCCCATGGACATGGAGGCCCAGCTGGTGGACTGCCAGGTATACAAATGCCTCGGAGAAATATGTCAAATCACAAAGAATGTTTTTAAATGTAAAAACAGACAGAAAGCATAATGGTTAAAAGGCTCGGTATGGACATATGATTTTTCACAATCCATGTACTTTACATATTTAGAGAGTAGGCAATCAATACCTTGTAAAAGCTTAAATGAAATTCAAGCATGAACTTAGTGTTTTGAAAAATTTTACCAATAGTTTCTAATCTTTAGAAAATCTTCAACTTCCTAAGGGACATTTTTAAAAGACTGTTGATACCAAAACATGTACAGTGTGCATATTTGGTAGCTAATAAGAGATACAAAGCCAATGAGAATTAGTACCAGTAAATCAGACTGTGGATAAATACGGGAGGAGGTGTCCGTAGGTGCTTCATTGCACTGTTGGTTCTAATTCTAATATTTTTTGGAAAACTTGGAAAAACTGTCAGTCATAGACAGATAGATTGAACACTGGAAGGATGTCTTGGGGAGCAGAAAATTTCCTTCCTCTGATGTGCGGTCTCTAGGAAGTAATGTAAGAGGTAATGGCATTATGGTTTTTATTATCATATCATTTACTTACCTCTTGGTTATGGAAATTTTCAAATTCACATACAAAAGTATAGAGAATAGATAATGAACTCTGATGTATCAATCATTGACTATCAATAATTATGAACATGTTAGACTTCACATATGGGTGAAGTATGTCTTAAAAGCTCTTTCACTTACCGAACTAGCAAGTCTCTAGAAGACCCTAATCTGCACGGTTAAATATCAGGACGCATAACTTCATGTTCACCCCATTGGGAATCAGAGGAAATATGTAAAAACCATTAATTAATGAACACCATCTTTTTTCTTAATATGTAGCATGCCACTTTGCTCATTCCTTTTATGATTTGAGATTTATTGTGACATTGATCATTATAATTTGGATTTTTAAATTATTTGGGTAACTTATCTATATGTATTCAAGGCATTATTAGTCTCTGCCTTAATGATAGACAATAGATCAAAAGAAAAATCAGAAGGAAAAAAAATGAATGTAAGGCACCTGCTAGTGTTTTCTGTTCTTTATATCATCTTTTCTAAAGTGTCTTCCTGAAAAGAGACATCTATTTTTAGCATTTTCTTCCAGCACTTGAAATCACCACATGCACTAGAATTTCAAAATATGTTTCATCATTACTCCCACTGCCTCCTTTTTTGGATAGCTCTATTTTTGTAGTCCTGCGTAGAGTCCATAATTCAGATCATGTATTTCAGGACTTTTACAAAGTATTAAAATGGTATTTTGACAGTATTGTTTTAGAAACTAGAAGCATATGGAATCACACAAGTTTACAACAGTGTCTTGGTCAATTCAAATCTAGTACTTAAGCCAGTTGTAAAATTCGAATTGTGGCTCTTACACAGAATCAGGGCCACGTTGTAATTTTGGGGGACCCTGAGCACTTTGCTTCCATGGAGCCTCCCCTATAAAAATCGTAAAAATTATATTTTTATTTTATAACTGCGTTGGTACAAACACTAATATAATCCAGGGTAGCTTCATGATGATTATATTCACTTTTTTCTTCTGTTTCAAAAGAAATTACAATGAAGACATGTTCTTGGGCCCTCCCCCCCCCGCCCCGAAATATCATGGACCTTCAGCATATTAGGATATGCCAGCTGTGCCTAGTGGAAAATTCATTCCTGCACAAAATTATACTCATTTCTCAGAAATAATCCTTAGGATATCAGCCTTTACACCTCATTTCATTAAAATTTTTACTCTTCCATTTAGTTGTAGTTTTTTGGTTCAAACCTATATTCTTAAAATTTTATGACAATAATTCTAATTGTGAACAGGGAAATAAAATATCTTTTCTCTTTAATAAATTACTTGATTGAAAATGACTTGATAGCTCAGAAAGTGCATTTCAAAAGAGTTCAGAATTAAGGAATGTAAAAACAGAACAATTTCTGTAGAAAACAAAACAGGTGGTGTTTGTCCTGCTAGATTTTTTTTTTTGTATTTATTTTAAGTCTTGCCTTAGAAGAAGGAAGACTATTTTGTTTTTTCTGGATTAGCCTGCATTTTAGAAGAAACCCAGCAGCACTAGAGAGTTGTCACAGAAAGTAAAGTAAAATTCTTAAGGAAACTTGCAGAAATGTAAGGTGAAAAATACATCATATAAGAAACATACATACATACATACATACATACATAAATAATTAAAAAATAAATGTGGTACAGTAATCTGAAAAAAAAAATCAACCCAAAGAAGCAATGTTTTGAAAGAGAATCCCTTTTAAATTGACAAGAAAAGGGTCGATCATGTGACGTCTTTACTGTTATCAGCCATAAGCATCACAATCTAATATAAAATAATAAAATAATTGTAATAGTGGGATAATATTAAGGAATGGTCTTTTGTCCTTACCTGTGGGTTATACAAAATGGGCTTTCCATGTGCTTTTCTAATATGTCTTTTGTTCTATAATATCTAATCTTAAATAAGAGAAAAATTGAGAAGTTCAAGGAATTCTAAAAAATCTATACACTACTCTTCCAGGCTGTCGGCAAACTAGGAAAAAAAACACACAAAAAAACACAAACACATGAAAGACTGAAGCAAGTATTATGTTCTGCTGGGAGAAACGGTCTTTGCAGACCAGGTGTGTGAGTTTCATCTTTGTTTCTGTCGCCCCAGAACATGCTGGTGGAAATAGAGAAGAAGGTGGTCGCCTTATCGGAGCTCTCCGTCCACAGTGAGAACCTGCTGCTGGAGGGCAAGGCTCACACGAAGGACGAGGCTGAGCAGCTGGCCTCGAAGCTGAGAACTCTCAAGGGGAGCCTCCTGGAGCTACAGAGAGCACTGCACGACAAGCAGCTCAACATCCAGGTGAGGGCTCCCGCCAGGGGCAGCAAGGCTGGGCTGCTGGGACAGCCGAGCACTATGTGTCACTGGCAAGCCTTTCTGCGCCTGCGCCATATAAAGGACAAGGTGGGGAATGGTACACACATACATACCTGCTTTAAGCAAACTTGGGCATCAATTTTCAAATAGGTTTTATAATGACTATTTAAATCCATTGACATGATGATTGCAGTGTAGGAAAAGAAAAGAAATAGAAATGAATACCCAAATCTAGCAAATACACAGTATTTCAAAATATTTAAACATAGATCATAAATGAAAATGTCCTATGCCATATTTACATTTTTCTTTCATTTCTCCTACATTCTAATTTTCAGATATACTCAGAGATTTTTATTTAGGGTCCACAACTTTAGCCTTGTAATATATTCCAGGTGAATTGAGGCTTTTTACTATCATGTAGTGACCTTAATGTTTCCTGACAGTGATTTTGTTTTATATTACTAGAGCTTTTGGGGGATAATATTTGCTGAGTATTCTTTTAACTTTCCTCTGATGTCACCCTTCTGTGACCTTATGTTTTAGATTTGCTTCTTTTAATGAATATTTAGCTATATTTTGTTTGTTTGAAACACTTTATCTAATCAGAAAATCTCTAACTGTTAAAGGGTGGATTTAGTCCATTTAAATTTGTGATGACTGGTACAGTCAGGCTTCTATCATCTTTGTTTTCTATTTTTTTCCTGCTATTTCTATTATTCTTTCTCTTCTTTAACCTTGTTTTAAATGGTTGCATACTTTTTTTTTTTTATCCTCTACTTTTTACCATGCATAACTAAAGTTCTAAGTTTATATCTTAATCTTCCTCCAGATCAATTTAAGGGCCTTAAAATACTTTTACTCAGATTTCCCCCATGCACCTTTCATACTATTGTTGTCCAGTATTTTTATTTTGTTCTTTTTTAATCCCTACAAATAAGATATTACTATTATTATCCCATACAAAAATTAAGCAAATATTTATTGAGACTCTACTGTGTGCCAGCTACTACTCTATATGATAGAGTGAAGGAGTATGGGCAACAATTGTCTATCTGTATCTGTATATCTATATCTACAGCTGTATATTCCTATCTTCAAAGGATTATGGTTGAGAAAAACAGATGATAAATAAAATTAAAAAGCACTATTATCTACTAAGTTAGAAGACAGTAAGAGCTATAGGTAAGATGCCATAAGGCAGGTAGATAGGGAAGGTGGGGCTGGGCAGATTTACAGCCTTATACAGAGGGGCCACAGAAGCCTCCTCAGGTTACATTTGAAGGTGTGAGCCATGTTGACATGTAGGGAGAGAGTTCTAGACAAAGAGGAAAGCAAGTGCAAAGGCTCCCTGGTGGGATCATACCTGGGATGCTCATGGAGGCCAGGGTGGCTGGAGTGGAGTGAGCAAGTGGAGAATGGTAGCCAAGGAGGCTTGGCAGGTAGCATGGGGCCCTGTCTTCCGAGGCATCATTGTAGGCATCATATGGACTTTGGCTCTTCCCCTGGGGGAAAATATGAAACCAATGGAGTATTTGGGAACAGAGGAATGACAAGAACAGGTTTTAACCACTGTAGGGGCCCTGGGTGGAAGCTGGGAGACCAGTTAGAAGGCACAGTGTGAAGGTAGAGAGTGGTGATGAGAACGTCTCAGATTCTGGATAATGGGAAAGATGAAAACTACCTGAGGAGCAGATTTGAGGGGAGAAAAGAGTAGTTAGGTTAGTAGTTTAATTTTGGACAGGTTACATTTGAGATGCCTATTAAATGTCAAATAGTGGTAGGAATTCAGGGGAGAAACCTAGATGAGTCATCAGCCTCCAGGTGGTCCTTGAAGGCATGAGACTGGATGAGATCACCAGGGAGGGAGGAGAGATAAAGAAGATCGAGGTCCTAGAGCCAAGCCCTGGGAACTCCAGTGTCAAGAAGAGTTTGGAAGACATGGAAGAGCCCACGTGAAAGAGCAAAAAAGAGAAACCAGTGAAGTGGGAGGAAGGTCGAGATTTGGAGTCCTAGAAGGCACTTGAAGACAAGTGAGATAAGATGAGGACTGAGATCTGACCACTGGGTCCACCCACATGTGGGTCTTCCATGACCTCAGCCACAGCTGTTTCAACGGAGGAATGAAGGCCAAAGGCACTCTGAAATGGAAGCGAGAGTGGGAGGAGAAGCGTGGGACAGGGGCCGTGCAGGTAACGCAGGAGTTTCGCTGTGAAGGGGCGAAGAGGAATGGGATAAGCCATACAAAGTGGGTCAAGAGAAATTTGTTTCCTTTTAAGACCAGAAGACTAATAACATTTTTCCATGTAGATTAGGGGAGGGTGTGGTCTTAGAACTACAGTGTCAGGAGGGAAGAAGACACCAGTATTTGAGAACACAGGCTGGCAGGGGACAAGGCACACATATCATGGTGGAAACCTTAACAGACGTTCACTGTGATTATGTCTGTTTTCTCAGTGTTTAATGATGATTTTTTTTCAGACTAAACTACATATTTTCAGTTCTTTGCTAATTTAATGATTCTATGATCTAAAACATCAAGCCTAATCAACAGACAATTATTAAAAGCAGTGGAAGAATTTAGTAAGATGACTGGCTTATTAAAAAGATAAAATAGAGAATCAAAAAACAAGTTAGAGAAATAATGTACAATAATTTTCCATCTATAATACCAACGAAATATGAAATATTTGGAATTCTAACAAATCACATTTTAAAACCTAACTGAAAACAAACAAAAAAAATGGAGAGATAAATTTTATTCTTAGATAAGACTACAATATTTTAAAGATATCAGTTATTCCTTTACTGACACATAAGTTTAAGTTATCCTCAACTGTATACGTGTATTTTTGGAATGTGACAAAGTGATACTAGGTTTATATGGAATAAAATAAACATGAAATAACCATAGAATTCTGAAAATGAAGACTTAGAAGGAGCTAATGAGTCTTATATCAAAACACAATATTATAATAAT